TTAGTCCTCTATTTTATGTCTTCTTGGTTACGTCTCCTTGGACTCTTTCTACTATTTCATCTACACTGGAAAACAAGTTGTGAATATCTTAAATGTCACTAGGTGTTTGTTAAGAAGTATTTTATGCTGGTTTCAAATTTGAAAAACCTTTTGCTCTATGAGGTTAAATTGTTAAGATATTGTCATATAAATGTTTTCACTTAAATAGGACTGCAGGCCTAAATAAGTTAAAATACTTCTTGACCAAAAGGTAATCCATAAGGTAGCTAATGTTGTAGTGGTGTAGTGGTAGAGCGCTTGCCTCAAAAGCAAAAAGTTTTAAGTTCAATCCCTACTACAGCCCTGGTAGTACCATGTTCAACTTATTTCTTCGCTTAGCTACCTTGTTTGTCAAAGTTCGTGTTTCGGAGTTATAGAACTAAGAAAAGGTTGTAACTGCAACTAAAAGTAACCTTCTCGACTGTAGTGACTGTAGTAACCCTCTTTTCACATCATTTAAACAAATGGAAAACCATCTGTGAAAAATGAGTACACCATTTTCAATTAACTAATTTACTAAAATGTCAAAATGGTTAATAAAAATGTCAAAATGTTGAAACCAAGTCTGAAAGCCCATTACAATAATCAGCTGCTACCTTAAATTCAAAGTGTGCTCAAAAAATAATAATGGCATTTTTCAATAAGTAAAAAAGGCTAAAAAAACAACCAATTCCAACAGTTTAACTACAAGCGTCGCCAACCCAAATGAATTAATTATTATTGAGTTAGAAATAAGCATTGCAATAATCTCTTACTTAATGTTAAATGACTTGCCTCAGTAGATAAATTAAAGTCTGTCTTTATCTGTCCAGACCTTACACCTCTTAAACAAGGAACATTCAACAGCCTAAACAAGAAGCGGGCTACTGAAAACACAAAACTATTTGCAAAAAACTTCATAAGCCCTTTCAATTTATGATCCGCAGCTAAAAAATCAAATACATTAATGCATCCTAAATAGTCAACATCAACAAAAGAAAGCTAATTTCCATTCCTCATATGGAAATTAATATGCTGAGGCACTGCTGCTCAGTCACATTAATGATCATCCTAGTTCAGTCTCCATCTGCAAATTTGTTCACCTCTATCGATCAGACCGTCTCAACATAACACCATAAACAACAAACTTATCTTAAACTAATGAAGAATCCCAACTACACAAAGATTTCATTCACTACTTATCAAAACAACTTTGGATTAAACTAATCAAAATTGGCTTTGTTTAATGATGTATTTTATTTCTTGCACACAAGAAATAAAGCACATAAAGATATAGTCTTCACTGAATATATATTTAAAATATTCTTTCTCGAAATTAGCTGCTTCATGCATTAGTTCCTCCTCAGTCATTTTTTGTTAGTTCCAAAGAAAGCTGAAAGTTTCAGAATCTGTTTGCAGCTCTAAAATGAACTGCAGGCCTCCAATAACATTATCCAATACTACATAAAAAATTTGCTTTTAAAATCAGGATTCCAAGAAAATTTTGCCTGCCTCACTTATTTTATTCACATTTTTGTCGTGGAATTGTTTTCTGTTATCATTCCTAAACAATTTTATTTCCATATCAAGGCTTGATGCAGCAAGCTAAGCCAAATTTCTTTCCAACTATCACTAATAGCTGCTAATTGAAAAAGTAAGCTTACTATCTTTGAAACTTCTATATCTAAAGTCGCGTTTTTTTTTTTATGAATGACATTTGCAACAAAGTCATTCATATCACTGATATGAATGACTTTTTTGCAAATGTCATTCATATCAGTGATATGAAATGTCAATAGAAATTAATATTCTGTGCCACACAACTGACATTGATGCAGGTACTGATATAACAAATTGCTCCACAAATCTCGTTTCTGGTTTTTAGAGTAAGATCTAGCTGGAGCAAGTCTTTCAAAACCAACTTTACTCCTGAAAGGAAAGCTACAAATGGTTTGAAAGTCTTTATTTGATCTGACCACCTGGTGCCAGATATTCTGTGAAAGAAACAACCAATTCGCTTAGATAGTATTTCCCACCACTTCAAACTACAACTGAATAAGGTATATTTTGTTTTCATAGTTCCAAAGTAGGTTATGGCTTCTGAAATACATTCAGCAACATCTTTACTGCATAAGTTAAGTGTGTTGCAGCCATAAGGAGAAAATGTAGCAGTAGGACATTAAATAGCAGGTTTATTATAGCTTGTGTTTCCTGACTTATTTGGTGCATCAATAATTTTATCATAATTTTGAGCCAAACAATCAGAGAGTGGAATAGTATTACTTTCTAAAGTTTTTGTAATTATTTGAGCAATTTCAGAACCATTTTTGTCACTACAATCTACAAAAAAAAAATCATTTCTCAATTTCAAACTGTAGACAAACTTTATTCATTTATTGTTAAACTAATTTGTTGAATGAATTATTTATTGAACTTCTATTTTTTGAAAATATTTTTTTCTAACAGTTACGGTTATGCCAAAACTTAATAAAAATGAATATTTTAACGATTTTGTGCTCAACAAAATACTATTCTTTAATAAAACTTTTTAATATTCTTTATTAAAAAAAAAGTAAATTATACATGGAAACATTACAGTGATGCACGTATTGCTTTATATTATATTTTTATACTGATACTATGCTGTTAAATATTTAATGCGCGATTTAATGATCAAAGGTTATTCATATCTTTAAAATTAAACTAAAGCATGCGATCATTTAATTTGGAACAATAAATTTTGTTTAAAACTTGTCACTAACACATTAAATTATTTTTTTCGTGTAATTACATAAAGTAATTATGGTATTAATTAAAAACATCAAAAAACGTTTCTCTTAATTAAAATGTCATCGAAACATATAGAAAAACGAAAAAAAATTCTACACAACTACTTACAAAGTCCTTCTACATCGTTAATTTCAATTGCTAAGGCATCTGAATCTAGCAAAACTACTGTTTGCATTGTCATAAAACAATACAAGAGCTCTCTATCTATCAAACAAGCAAAAGTATCTGGATGAAAGAATAGCTTTAAGGATAAGAAAACCGTAATTAGTATTCAACGATTATTCACGCAAAACTCCGGCTTATCCAACAGAGTGCAAGCCAAAGGATATAAAGTTTCAGAGCTTTTTAAAGATTAAAATTTGGCAAGCAATATGCAGCTGCGGTTTGATATTAAAGTAAAAAACACTTTTATAATCTTCAAGTTCCTTAGATTAAAATAAATATTTTTTGTAGTTTTTGCATTAGTTAAACTATTTTTCATTTTTTTTGAACTTTTTATCGTTTTTAATTTAACGATCACATGGTTCACCCTGTGAGCGGTGGACATACAAAAGAGGTCTTTGAACATTTTAAAAGTGTTTTCAATGTCTTTTGAACGTTTTGGACATCTTTTGAACGCTCAAAATACGCCTTTTTGAGGTCCTGTGCCCACTGGGTATACAGGGACTCAGTTCGGGCATAAAAAAGGCATCTTTTAAACGTCTTTTGAACGTTTGAGATGCCTTTTGAACGTTTTGGACATCTTTGGGACGTTCAAAAGACGTCTTTTTTTTAAGTACTGTGCCCCCAGGGTAAAATTAAAACTGAAATTTAAAACAAAAACTTTAGTTTTGGGTAAATAATATATAAAAGAAAGTGTTTATTTACCCAAAAAAATTTTCTTTTCAAATGTAATATTCTGTAGTAGTAATACAATAACCTTATAATCATGAGAGTTGGTTAAAAATTGTACAGCTGTGGGTTGGCAAAAATAATTAAAAAAAAAAAATTTAATTTCTTTGTTCATAAAGTTAAGGAGCCGGAGCTGAGCCGGGAGCTGAGCTGGAGCCGGTTGTTTCTTGGGAGCCGGAGCCGAGCCGTCAAAAAAACAGTCTGCTCCACAAGTCTGCTCCGGAGTTTTCATAAATTGGAACCACAGATGCCATTTTCAGACTCAGTCAAGCACTTATTAAATAGTTTGGAGAGAATTGATGCAAGTTCTGGAAAACAATTTTGTGACAGGAATGCTGTTTGGACCAACTATGACAGGAATGCTGTTTTGAACAACTATGACAGGAATGCTGTTTGGACCACAAGCCATAGGAAAGTTTAATTGAAATATGACTTAAGCAACGGAAGCTGGAAAATTTTGAATGTCTAACAATTTGTTTAATTATAATGAAAGGAATGAGATTCAAGAGTCAAATTAAAAGAAAAGTTCTTTGTAAACATTTTTGTTTTATCCTTGAGAGAGGTAATAAGAACAGTCCCATGAATGAGAGATGAAATGTTAGACCCATCCTTGTTAATGACAGTACTGAATTCCAAAAGTCTCTAGAGCCTAGCTACAGGATTAAGTTAAACTGAGAATAATGGAGCTTACTATCAGACAGCAATTTTTTACATTGATTTCCTGCAATAATAAATAGCTATTTGTTGATAAAAAAGATAAAAAAAAAATGATTACAGTTAGATATGCATAGATATCTTGTGACATAGATATTGTGTGTTAATCATTTAAATTTTCAAAAATTAAATGATTAGTAAAAAATTTAAAAATTTTAGTACTTTTTAATATTAATATTTAATACTAATTTTTAATATTTTTATTTCATTAAATTTTCAATAAAAACCTGTTAAAATAGAAAACTGCAAAAATAATAAAAACTAAGAAAGGTTGAAAAATTGAAACTAAAAACAAAGCTTTTTTAAGATTTATTTTAGTCAATTTATCGATAGATTAAACAAAGTAAATTAAACAAAATAATTTTGGTTGACAAAATAAGAGTAAGATATATAAACTTTTTTATAACATAACTCTTACGGATATCCTTATATAAAAATATGTTTATATAAGTAACATGTATAATAATTTTTCTAATAACATAAATAACAACATGAAAAAATAAAAAAATGATCAACATCTCTCAAAAGTATTATATATTATAATAATAATTTAAAAAATAACTCTGTATTCAAAATATTTTACAGACCTTTGACAATGCAAAATTCAACCATGTCATTTAAACGAATTGTAGCAATGTCATTATGACCAATGCCAATCGAGTATTGAGGAAAATTTTTAGATTGAAAAGAATAACATTTTCCAATATGTACTATAAAAAAATAACAAAAAAACTAAAAAAGCTAAAAGAGCATAAGTGTCAAAACATTTAAATAAGTCAGGTTATTACTATACAATGTAATTACACAAATAAATATATATTTGTAATTTATTGAATTATAAGTTATTACACAAAATTAAAAGTTAAACTTTTAAAAAATAATTCATTGTTGAAAACATGTGTACATAAGGTGTGGGGTGTCCTAAATATGTGGTTTTACTGCATAGATACATTATGAATGCCCCCATTTACACAGTTTACTCTTTAGTCCTCTTTAAGCTTAACTTTATTCATGATTCATATGATTATTTAATGATTTATTTGTAAATAAGTAAAAATATGAATTAAAATCATTATAAATAGTTAAAAAGGTTTTGTTTTTAGCTTATTTCTGTTTTAGTAACTTATTAAACTATTACTAATTTTAATAGATTTGAGAGTAGTTTTTTTTTAAACTTAATTCCAAGATCTTAAATTTGAATTACTTTAATTATCTTTAGCTTACCTTTAGTTGATACAGTGTTTTTAGTTAGACAGTGTATCAACAGCAGCTGCTAGTACTTTAATTATCTTTAGCTTACCTTTAGTTGATACACTGTTTTTATTTAGACAGTGTATCAACAGCAGCTGCTAGTACTTGGTTTTGTAATTATATAAAAACAAGCAATAAAAATTTATAACATAAATTTAAAAAATAAAGATAGATTAAAAGGATAAAGAGAATGTTTTTCATTAAGATATTGATAGAAAACAGTATTTGCTACTTTTAAACTTAAATATTATATTGTCACAAGAAGTTACTAAATTATTAGAAATAGCATATGCTACTAAGTTACATTAAGTAGCATATGCTACTAAGTTATCAAAAGTAGCATATGCTAATAAGTTATATGAGACAATTAGATTTGAATGATATCATTAAAAACTGAAAATTTTTTAGTCAAATAAAGAAATATTTTATCTGTAAAGATGTATAAGTCTGCAAGAAACTCAAATATCAAATCAAATTTCAAATCAAATATGTCACTCTGCCTGGAACTCTCTATTTTCACATAACATTAAATAACAAAACAAATTAAATACACTACCTTTCAAAAGTTTGAGTTAACCTGATGAATTTAATTATAAGCACACACACAAAAAAGAAGGATTTTCCTCATTGTATGTATTTATATATATTGTTAACAATAAAATAATCACACTTTTAGCAAAATAAGAGATTATTTTGAAGATCATACAGTATTTTTTTATTTTGTTTTTAAAAACATAGATTTTTCCAATAATTTTTATTTTATTTTACATTATTTATTGTCTTAATTATAGATAAGCAATTGCATGAAAGCCATATATATACCTATTGGTGGTCAGGTCAGGTTATCCTGCTACTGGTAACATGTAACCTAGTACAATCTGCCTCATATCCTGCTGCCTGGCAGAAAAGGCTTTTTTAGGCAAAGGCTAGGAGAAGCCAACTCCAACTTAAAACACCCCCTGCCTTGGGCTCTTGGTTGAGTAAAGGCTAGAGATGGTGTCTCAATAAAAATACTCATTTGGCAGATGTTAGAAGCAACCAGCTACTGTCTTGTAGAAGGCCTTCTAGGCAAAGACTTAATGGGTAAACAGATTCTCTTTGTTAACCAGCCCTGCACCCCTTCTTCATCTATACGACTGGCATAGATGTATTTATAATACATTGTTTCCAGCTTAGAATGTTGAATGTTGGATCATTTTAACTCAATACATGGATTTTGCTTGTGTCTCTGTTTAATGACTTATTCTATGATCTATGATCATAATAGTGATATGCTTGGACTATTAAATACACTGGGACTTGGACTATTAAATACACTGGGACTATTAAATACACTAAATTACACTGAGAACTATCTGTGCTTTGATTCAGTTGATAATTGATTCAAACATGTTTGTATGAACACTAGAAGATGTTTTTAATTGGCTGGTTGCATTTTTCTTACATTTCTAATTAACTTGTCCACAACAACTTGATTGGGTTAAAATCAGGCAACTTAGTAGCCCGTTCATTATATTTTAGTTCTTGTTTTTGTTAGACTGCAATATAAATTTAGCAGAATTTAGAAGTGTGTTTGAAATCATTATTCTGTTGAAAAACAAATTTGCGACGCACTTTTTTTGCATGTTTTTGGAGAAAGTTGGAGTATATAGTTTTTTTATCCATAATGCCCTCAATTTGCATGAGGTCACTAATTTTCCAACAAAGCATCCCCAGAACAACTAACCCTCTACCATGTTTAACTGTTGGGATCATGTATTTTTCTAATTATACGTTGTCCAATTTATCAACAAACAAATTGTCAACGATTTCCTTTGAAAATTTCGAACTTTAATTTATCTGTGAACAAGACTTGGACCATTGTTGAATTGTCCAATGTATTTTTGCAATATATTCCTAAAGTATTCATTATTGTTATGATGACAAACATTTTTGTTCTCAAATAGGTGTGTGAATCTTTTTATAATGAAAATTTGATAATAAATTCTTAAATATTACTCTAGTTTTGAATGAAAGGAGAATTTTTGAAGAAAATTATTTAAAATAAAAAAATGCAACTAAATTTTGAGTTCAGTTTGACATATACATTACCAGTCACTTTTGGTAATGTATGTCACCAAATCAACTTCACTTCCATGAAGTCAGATCATTTTGCTTTAACTTATATGTTTTGATTTTGCTAAATGAGACACACTTGGGACTAGAAAAAACTAAAACGTATTTTTAAAACAAGTTGTAGTAAAAAAATAAAAACACAATTAAAAAAATATTAATTGTGTTAAATAATTTTGGGTTGTACCACTGGAAAAAAACAAAACACTTACTCTTTAACATTTATTTGTATACACGCTTCATTATAAGTTTAATTTTTTATTTATTTATTAGACAAACAATTGCATGTATATGCTTGAATTGCAAAAGACAAACTATGCTGTTAAAGCTTAGTGTGTGTAGAGCTTGTTTTTTATACTAACCAACTTAAAATCTATTAAAATAAATTGTAAAATAACACTTCTAGTAAAAAAAACAAATTTTTTAATTTCACTTACAAAAATTTTTTATTTTTTTATAAGTAAAATTAAAAAATTTATTTAATTTGTAACTAACTATTTACTACTATAACTAAAAATTTTTGTCTTATAAGTTAAAATAAAAAAATAGCTAATGGTTGGCTATATTTGGTTTTTATTCTTGTGGCACCTGCTGTTATAACTGCTTTTATATATTTACTTTTACAGATGTAATTAAGAATGTCTACTCTTTTGGATTATCAACTAAAAGCCAAGTTGTATGAGACGTGGCATTTAATAATATAGCAAATATATTACAAGATAGATATGATAGATATATGATAAAATATATTATATCGTTATCAGGGTTGGTAATCAAAAATCTAAACCCAAAAACCTACCCAAAAACCCAAGACCAAAAACCCACTAAAAACCCAACTTTATGGGTTTTTGATATTAAATTTTTAATTTTTTTATTCATAAATCAATTTCCATTAATACACAAGATTGGATTTTGCTCAACTAACAACAAAATACAAAGTCATAAATTAGAATTTAATTTTACTTGGAGCAATAATTCAAATAATAATAATTCAAGCTTAAACATTTAAAACAATGTTATCTAACAGTCATCAGCATTTGTGCATCTTGATCTTAAATGTCTGTAAATTTGTACAAGCATTTCAGCTTTTTCTCTTCCTAAAAGATTCCTAATTTTGCTCCAAATAATCCCAAAAGATGAGAAAAATCTTTCTATGGATTCAATGCTAGCTAGACAAGTGTGCAACTGCCGAAAAATTTTGAAAAATTTGCAGGCAATTTGGAAGACTTAGATTCCTTCATTTTTTCAATTCTCCACCAATTTGCTGATGTTTTGCTTTTAACACTATCATTGAATAAGTATGTTGGCAAACAATTAGCATCTTTTAGTTTAATGTATAGTAGCCTGGCATAAGTTCAGGATAGACTTCATTCAACCATTCCTCAGCTTCTTCTTCTTGACATCTATCCAATGTTTTTCCTAAGTAAATTAGTAAAGTTATAAGAGTAGTAAACTTAAGTAAAAACTTTACATTTGTTTTTATTTAAAATTGATCAGATGTAATATTTTAAGTTTTTTACAATTGTTTAGTTACCTTCATATTTTGGATCTATTAAATTGGCCAAAAAAAAGATATGAAACAATTGCTTTCTTGAACCTTTTTAAATTATCATCTTTGTACAAAGCCAATTTTTCATTATGTATGAAGAATTGCTAAATCTCAACTACTTCAGACAAAGTTGTATCGTCTGCCTGCAACTACAGTAAAAACAATAATTTTGCTAATAATTATGTAAATAAAGTTACTGATGACATTGTTCCTTATATAAGTAGTTTTAATATACTTATTATAATTAAATTTAATAAATTCAGATAATTACTAATTTTATTAACCTTATCTAATGCAACACCAATAATTTTCAGTTAAGCATATAAATTTATTGCTTCTCTCTGTATTGATAGATTGTCAATTAGGCTTCCTATTGAAGGATCAATGGATTCCATATAATGTTATTCTTTAATCTCACCTCTAATGTTAACGTACAGAAAATGATTAGATACGTATGTCTGTAAACAGTCTAATTGGGAGTTCTAGCGAGTATCATTGGGTAGCTGTGGCATTCGTCAACCTTTTTCCAATAACTAACCCTATAATAAATTTGTTTAAGAAAATTGAACAAAGAAATATTAAAAAATAATTTTGTTAAAATAAAGCTAGGATCTCTTTTGCCATCATTATCATTAGGCTTATATCATTAACACAGCTGTTTTATTTCATAGTATTGTATTACAGAATATGTAATCAATAAGTAAATAACAATTTAGAATTTAATACATATGTGTGGTTGGTGATGATTATGAAAATATTTATGAATTGCTGTAATATGCTTTACTATAGACTTCAGAGAGATTTTTCCTTTTCAACCAAATTTAAAAAATGAGCAGAGCAACCTACTTCAACCTGCAAAAGTTTTCTCATTTTAGACATTTTATTTTCGTTGTCAGTGTATACTGCAAATGCCTAAATAAAGAATGATATATATATATATATATATATATATATATATATATATATATATATATATATATATATATATATATAAATGTATATGTATAGAGTATATATATACATTAAATAAAACAGCTAAACATCTAACACTTACATCTTTATTGAAGGTTTCTTTAGCAATTTTAATTGTATACTAAGCAGCTTCAGCACAATATTCTGCTGTTTTTGATTGGCTTCTAGTGTCAATTGGAGAAATGAGATAAGGTTTATTTCCATTATGAATGCTATGAGTAATTATAGGATCATTACTGAATGTACCCCAATCATCTTGAACTAGGGTAACAGCGCTATCATCAGCAAGATCATTTTTCATTAAATTGATTGCTTCATTTATCTTTACTGAGTTCTGAAGATATCTGTTTTCTATTTGGTGGCTCATATCCAGGTCAAGGTTTTTTAAGCAGCTTGGTAAATTCAAGATTTTCTACTACGTTGAATGTTGTATTTGCTGAAAAGAAAAATCTTTCAACTTGTAAATCTTGCTCATTATCATCAGACAGGTTAGACTGATGCTGCAGATGTAAATGGCCTTGACTCTAAAACTGATATGTTACTTAACACTTCAGCGGAATTATTAGCGCTTCTTTTATTCTTTCTTCTGCATTTATCCAAATGGATCTTAACTCTTGCAATAATTACATATTACTCTATTTGGTTGATCACTTAATATGGTCACTTCATTCCACTCACTAGTCTTATTTCTTCCCTACTGAATGATACTTTGGCATGTTGAAGATGTATAATCTACTTATATTTAACTAAAAATCTATTTAACTAAAAATATAACTCTATTTAAAAATAGATTTATATTATAAAAAAATGCAATCTGATTATTAATTAAGCTTTTGTATAAGAAAATATACCTGTAAAAAATGAAAAATAGCTAAAAAAAACCACCCAAAAACCCAATTGGGTTGGGTTTTTGCTCAAAAACCCAAATTTTTGCCAACCCTGATTGTTATTCTCATTATGATTACCATTATTGTTATAAATAATTTGTGTTGATTTGTTGAATTATTATTGCTAATATGATTATTATTAATTCTGTTTTTACTGTTAATACTTTATTACTTTTATTAAAAGATAACTTTTAATCTTAAAAATCTGCTTACCGATTCCGAGTCGAACAAGTCGATAACTTGCTACTACTTTGTACAGATTATCACTCAAATTTTCTTTTATAAATGATAACCTCCAAGTTGATGAAGTACATTTGAGAAAATAGCCAGGGTTATTTGAAGACTCAATTGAAAAGTAGCCTGGATAATACTTGTTATTTCGCATTATAAATGAAGCAGAATTTTTAAACAATATAGAATCATCATTTTTGTGAAGCCTCAAGGCAAGATTATGTTCTTGTAGGTACATGTTTCTATCCTTTGCTGATTGAAAAGAAACTGAATCAGCCCTTCCGTTAAGTGCTAAATAAATTTTAAACAAAATAAAAAAAAAAACTTGAAATAAGGAAAATAATAACTGATAATATTATATATATAATAAAAACTGAAAATATTGATATATTAACAACTAATAAAAAATTGTGCTAATAAACACTGATAATAATAATAATAATAATAATAATAATAATAATAATAATAATAATAATAATAATAATAATAATAATAATAATAATAAAAAATAATAATAATATAATAATAATAATAATAATATAAACAATAATAAAAATATAATAGCAATAATATAAACAATAATGATAATATAATAATAATAATATAAACAATAATAATATATAGTAACATATACATAAAAAAAGCAATTATTTTGTGTTAAAAAAAGGTTTTAATGTTTTTTTACATTTTCAAATCTTTGCTATTTTTCCATTGAAATTGCAAAAAAGGGGATTTTTATTGTTTACTTTTTAATGATAATTTTATATTTAACTTTAATCTATTTTTATATATTTGTAAAAAGTTAGTGATAAAAAATGAAAAGTGAATGATTATGTTGTTGTTGTATATAAAAAAATGAAGGCTGTTGTTGTATATGAAAAAAAAATAGAATACTAAATATGTAGTTGACGTACTATTATTTAAAACATGTAAAATTTTAAGTTTGTGATTTCTTTTTTTAAAAAAAAACTTAGTACTCATATTAAAGAACATATGCTTAGCTGAAGATAAAGAACATATGCTTAGCTGAAGGTAAACAAAATACTTAACTCATAAATTCTAAATTAATGTTTATAAAAATTGTA